TTTCCCAGCACCATTTGTTGAAGATGCTATCCTTCCTCCATTGCATGCTTTTAGCCCCTTTATCAAATATAAGAAAGTTGTAATTTTGTGGATTGGTCTCTGTGTCCTCTATTCTGTACCATCGGCAAGCACTCTTAACAGAGCCACAACCCCAGCCCTGCTTCTGTGGTTTAGGGTTTTTCGCGTATCTAAAAGCCTTTTTACTGATGTGCATCTTTTTGGAAAAATTCTAAATTTTCATTTTGATGGATAGACATTTTAATATGAGGCAAGGAGGTTTGAGTGTGTGTATGGTATTAAAAAGTTTATTCTTTAAAATAAATGAGGAATAGATGTATTCTAAGATGATGGACTTAACTAGAAAGTAGTGACAAAAAGCTGTCTTCAGATCTTGTCAGTAGATAATCCTGGGTTCATGTCTAAGCGAGGCTACTTGCCAGCTGGAGTCCAGGCAAGACGTTGTATCTCTTAGCATCTCCATTTTCCCTTGAGTGTAATGTGAGCAATAGAGTTTTGCAGTCTTCGGGGCTAGGTGAGCTGGTGCAGTGTAGGGCAATCGCTCATTAGTCCTAGCGCTCCGAAGACTGGAGTTTTATGAATACGGCCCTTACTATGTGCGGGGTTTAACTGTTAAGGGTAAATGTACAGAAGAAATGAACTTTGTAACTACAGATCCTCACCACCGTAAAAGAGTTTCTTGCCTTGCTGAGCCGTCTGAGTTCAGCATCACTACAATTTTCAACATAGAATATTGAACTGACTTCTAAAAGTTGAGTTTGAGGGGAAATTGTCAATCACACCCTGAAGCTGTAAAAGCACTTTATTTAGCATCTCTGGAATAGCATGTGCATATATCGCTCTGAATGAGTGTAAGGAAGGAGGCTGGGAGCGGGAGCAGGATCCACCTGCCGGGCAGATGTGCTAGGAATTCCTGTGTAGGAAGACGTCAAGGACAGGGGCTGTGCTACCTATGGGAAATAGAAAGAAGAACACACATAAACAGTAGAGTGTGTCCAGGAAACAAGGGTGGATGACCTCCTGATGCACACCAGGGGGCTCTGGACACAGCCTCATGATCCCGTCACTGCAGATGCCAGCAGCCCAGGGGTACAGTGAGAGAGGTCTCCTTCTCAGGCAGCATCACCACATGGGCATGACTCCTGTGCCCTTGGTGCTGCCCTGACTCCATTTTTGGCAAGTTCTTTTGATGTTGCTGTGTAGTGATGGTCTCTGGAGTTTCACAGGACTTTCAGGAAGTGCACAGCAAACATTCTCTTTTCCTGGACTCCCACTTATTCCACTGGATCACCATTTTCCTGAAAAACAATTTATGTCTGGCTTCACTTTTACTTTTATTTTTCAAAAATCCCACTCAGGAAATCCCAACACTAACGCTGTTAAGTAGAACCATGTAAAAATGCCAATATTTAATTTCTTTGATGTATAGAAATGGCTCCAATTTGGTATTACTCTGAACAGTGGAGTTGTTCCTCACTTGACAGACTAAATGTATTCACAGAAATTTTAATTGGAAATAAGTTTTCTGTTAACTGCGTTACGCAGTGTTTTTGAGGACACTGAACTGAATGAATACAAACTTAAAGTTATAGAGCAATCTCCTAAAAATCAATATCTCACTTTAATAACAACCATTTTATAGAAGTATAAGATGATTCAGCCTTGTAAGAAGATAACCTTGTAAGAAGATAAAATTATAAAATAGAGAAAGTAAATCACACATAGCTTACCAGAGATTAATCTATTCAGCATTTTATGTTTTCTCTGATCTTTTTCTGGTAAACACGCATGTTCATTTTTATATGGTGTGATCATTTTCTGTAATATATATCATAATTTTTCACTTAACACAGGGAAATAACCTTTGTAAGCAACTTCTGTAAATGGTTACATAAATCCTAGCCTATGGATAAATCATAATTTATTTAGCCATGCTTCTATTGTGTATGAGGGCATAAAACACCTTGATCACATAATATGCTACTTACATAGAGGATTTTAAGATGTGATAAACACATAATAACAAAACACCTCTAAAAGGAACTCTCAGTTAAGTATTAAACAGAAATAAACACATTTGCATTTAAAACAGCAATTAGCACAAAACCAGTTTTACAATCAGCATTCAGAACATTGGTAAATGTGTAAGAAATGACATAATTATCCTTCTGTCTTGTAATCTATATTCAGTTACCTCTATCATCAGCTGTCCTGTTAAAAAATACAATTACTAATTTTAAAAAAATGTGCTGAGTTTCACTTTTTCTTTCACCTTCTTTGTTCATATTCTAGATACATGTTCAAAATAAATATCAGAAGGGAAATGAATACAAATAAGAAACACAAATCAACCCTGACTAGCACCGTGTGACCGTTTAACAAGGGCTGTCCCAGAGGGAAGGAGGGTGGAAGTGGACCATGGAAGGATACCATGCAGAGGCAGAAAGACACGCATCAGGTTTTACCTTGAGGACACAGGACTTCCTGTGCTTTAAATTCTTAGAGCAGTCGAATTGAAAGAAAAAAAAGGAAGTAGAGCTCTCAAAGCTTTCTCTGACTTCATCTAAGAAATGTACACAAGCAAAAGGAACCAAAGTGTAAATGAAGAGAGGATGATCAAGTGATTTAGGGAATGTTTTTGGACTGTAATAGTTTTGTAAGTAGCATAGTTTACTTCTGAATTTAGTTTTCATTTAATTTTACCTCTAGTTGTGGTTGTTGTTGTTTTGTTTGTTTTTGTTTTTAATTTGGTACCAGAGATTGAACCCATGGGCACTTAACCATTGAGCCACATCTCTGGTGCTTTATTTATATTTTATTTTGAGACAGGGCCTCCCTAAGTTGCCTAGGGCCTTGCTAAATTGCTGAGGCTGGCTTTGACCTTTTGCGAGAGTCTCCTGCCTCAGCCTCCGGAGCCACCAGGATTGCAGGCACGCACTGCCACACCTAGTTTTACCCCTAGATTTTTATATCCCCACATCTCATCTGGGAGATCTAAAAGGTTTTATTTATTTTCCTTCAGATCTTTAAGGAATTTGTCACCTGGCAATTTAGGGAGATAATATCCTTCAAATAATAGAAGGTAGAAACACAAATGCATATTTTACATGTTATTCTTTCTTGAAGACAATTTTGGAAAAAAAAAAAAACTATGGATTTGGAATTAGCATACATGTTCCTGTTCCCTTGGGTTTTAAAAAAAGGTCTCTTCCAGCTCCACTGCTCCACGTGGGATTCATCAGTGGTAATAGTGCAGCGTCTGCTTAAGTTTTGACCTCCTAAAAAGTGACAAAATGTTATAAAGGCATCCATGACATGAGGTTTAAGATGTAGGAAAAGAAGTCACAAAAGTTTACTACATGCCTAAAGCATGGGAATATTAGACTCAGGGAGGGGCAAGAAGCCTGTAGGAACCTGGGGGCGGGGGTAGGTGTGAACCAGGGTTGTCTTGCTATGTTGTGGTCATCTCTGCCTGGGCCAGGTGTCAGCCTCTGATCTTTTCTTCCTGTGGAAAGACCCCTCTGAGCTGTGAGGCCCTTAACTCCTCCCAACATTCATCCCCAAGAATCATCCAAACGTGAACCTCTGATCCAGAGCACAGGTGGTGGGCTGCTTTCTGAGTGCAGACCTCCAAGGGCAAGGACTGGTTGGACACATTGCCGGCTGACTTCAGGAGAATCTAAGAGTCTTCCATGACACTCTGGGAAGTCAAATGGAAGGCATCTGTTGCTTTCTCTATCTCTGGAGGAGTCTTAAGTCTGCTTTCCTCTGCCTTAAGTGTCTAAATGAAGAAGAGAAGAACTTTTTAGGATGCAGCCGAGATTGTCTACATGCCTCTGCATGTTGTAAATCCAAGAATGAGACTCTCAAAGGGCACTGGCTTCCACACTGGTGGCAGGCTTAGGCACAGGGGATCACCAGTCTTACTGCTTATGGCCTCTGGGCGATGAGAGTTTTAAACTCAACCAACCAGAAGCCAAGAAAGAAAGAAGAAAAGGCATCCAGAGGTAGAGAGCACAGAACCAGAAAGAATATTCAATAGAAGAGCTTCTACAGAGGACCTGAGAAGAGGCTGGGTGGGAACAGAGCAAGGAAACAACAGGAGTTTGGGAGCACTGTGTAACGTTTTTGTGCTAATGGGAAACTTAAAGGCAATTAGTAACCCTTCTAAGTTTCCAGAAGAGGGGACTGATGCCAGAGAAGTTGCTACTTGCCAAAAGTTATGTAACTGGCCAGAGGCAATGCTTGTGAAGCAGCTGCTGAAACAGCAGCTTTGACTAAGGAGTCGATGCAGGCTGAAATCGTTCAAGGTTTTTCTGTTCCAGACCATGGCAACTAGCCTGGAGCTAGGGGATGAGGAACCTGGCAGTAATCCCCAGGATCCCCTTCTGGGCCCCCTATCAGACAGGAGGGATCAGAGAGGAGGTGGAAAAGTACCTGTGATTAGCCACCAGCATCCTGTGTCTTCAGGTGTCCTCAGCTTGTTGTCCTGTCTTCTCAAATGCAGGAGGGGGTAAAAAGGGAGCCCCTTCTATCAGGCAGTTGACAATCATTAGCTCATTTATTATCTCTGGCTAACATTTTACTGATTAAGCAGTTACTATGATCATGCTGTATCATAAGAATCATGCCTGCATTTTTTCTCATTTCAGTCCTATGAAATAGGATAATGGTAATATTCCCATTTTACAGATGAGGAAAATATCTGGGGAAGTACCTAACCATTGGTGATAACACACTTCGTATTTCTCCTTCTCTTTCTAGTACCAGGTGTTGAACCCAGGGGCACTTACTTAATCACTAAGCCATATCCCTGGCTCTTTATTTATATTTTATTTTGAGACAGAGACTCACTAAGTTGCATAGGGCCTTACTAAATTGGGAGTTCATAACCCACTTGAATCAAATGTATGAAATATGATATGTCAAGAGCTTTGTAATGTTTTGAACAACTAATAATCTTAAAAAAAGAAAAAATAAAATAAATTGCTGAGGCTGGCTTTGAACTTCTAATCCTCCTGCCTCAGCCTCCCAATCCAACTAGGACTATAGATGTGCACCACCTTGCCTGGCACATAGTACTTCTTTCCTCCATTTTCCATCTTGGGTTGTAAAATTCAGTGTTGTACTAGGCCAGACCTACTTCTAAATATGTTGAAAATGGCTGGGCACACGTGAAATCCCAGAAACACCGGTGGCAGGGGGATTGCAAGCTTAAGGCAAGCCTGGACAATTTAGTGAGACCCTGTCTCAAAATAAAACACAAAAAGGGCTGAGGATGTGGTTCTGTGGTAAAACACTTGCCTAACACGAATGAGGCCCTGGGGTCAATCCCTAGCGCTGAAAAAAAGTTAAAAACAGAGAGAAAGTAACCGAGCATTACTTGCCAACCACACTGTCTTGCACAGTCTTTTCTGGAGTGTTGAAAGATGAACATTAACTTTCCCTTGGTACTTTGTCATGCCCTCCATGCCACCAATGCTTTATGCTGCCTAGAGACATCACATATATGTTCATATGATTGAAATAAAAACATCACCCAGTTGTACATATTTCTTCTGGCTATGGGCAGAGAGGACATTCCACGGCTCCTCTCAGGGCTGGGGACACCTGCCTTACAAGATCCTTTACTCTATAGCCCTAAGCTATTAACCTAAGTATAACGTGATCCAATTAAAATGTAGCTTTAATTAAGATGCATTAAGAAAAACTGCAATACCTGAGTGACAGAGTCTTTGGTATTATATTATTTAACAACAAAATGCTTAAAAATCTTTACAGTGCTTTGATTTCACAAGAAACCATCAATTTTATCTGCAGCACTTTTTTGCCTAACAATGTGTATATCAGGTACCTGGGTGTATCATGGAGCACAAATTCCCCCAGTCTATAAATGCACACATAAATATGATATTACAAATTATCTTGTGCTTTAGAAAAAAATACAGGGAGGATCTAATTTATATTAGGGCTCATGAAGTCTCTTTGTTAAAGTGACATTTGGATGCCCAAAGGTCGAGTAGGAAAAAGTGGGGAGGATTTTTCAGGAGGGAACAACCCTTGAGATGTCCTAGGATAGAACAAAGGTCAGTAGGGCAGGGATGATGTTAAAGTCAGGAGGCTGAAGGACGATGTTAAAGTCAGATGGCATTGTGACTTGGGGAATAGGGTTTAGATTTTATTCTAAATGCAGCAGAAAATTGTTGAAAGACTTTTAAGTCGAGTGGCAAATTGAACACTCTTGTCTATAAGTTTTTGGTGGTCTTTCCAGTGATACCATTAAGGTAGATTTTTAAACTTGGACTTTCTTGCATCAAAGATATGAATATTCTTAAGTCTCTGGGTATTTCATGGGAGTTCAATACTGCATAAGTGTGTCTGTTTCTCTGGCCCTCACTGGCTCCCCCATTGAAAAAGAATCCTGTGATTTGAAGCAGTCCGTGTTATTTGGTCATTTTATTACTAGTGAAAGTGAATGTTAGAGCTGGGGATATGGCTCAGTTGGCAGACTGCTTGTCTAGCATGCACAAGGCTTGATCCCTGGCACCACACACACACGCAAAAGTGAATGTCAGTGTTGATTAATCATCTTGTTCTCTTTGGTAGATTATGCATGGTGTTTGTCTTTCAGGGGAAGGGGAGTTATTGGTGTTTATCTTCTTGATGTGACATGACTTTTTGAAGACCAGCATTATAGTTTTTTAAATCTTGCATAAATTGTCTTCTGCTTTGTCTTTTACTTGTAGAATTTTCCTCAGCTCTAAAGGACCATTTGTTGCTAAGCAAAACATTCCTGTTAGTTGAAGATGCAGTTACTATTACTTTAAATGAGGAACAATGCTGTTTCTGATCCCATAAATGTTTAACAAGTCTCCGGAAATGGACCTGTTTGCTTCCCTAGTTTGCCTTTGTGATCACAGCGCACTGCAGCGCGTTCTGCTCCTCATTTCTCTGCAATGTGCTCTTCCTCTGCATCCCTGGAGCTTTTCATAGCTGTGCTCCATGGTACTCTTACATTCTCGAACAAAACACACATGTTAATTCAGCCTTTAATGCAAAACCAAAACATAAAACTAAACATAGTAGTAAAGACAAAATAAATAAAAACAATTCATTTCAAGGGCGGCAGTGCATGTTTATTACTGCCACATACGTGCGATTATCAGACCAGGAACACTCTGAGGAGTCAACAAGACTCCAAGGGAGTCCCAAGAAACATTAACTGAGCCTTATGTGAAGAGAGTAGGAGGGAGAGTATTAGAAAGAACTTCCAGGTAGATTTTAGAGTAGGACTACACTTGTTTTTTACATGTAGGATTTATAATATTTTATAATCAAATTTATCAGTTGTGTGTGTGTGTGAGTGTGTGTGTGTGATTTCCCCCAAACCTGGTTACTCTAAGGTTTTGGATATTCTTCTCTGCTTGCAATCTTGCAAAAATTCAGGTATATTTTCTTCTAGTTTTTGAAAAAAATTTCAGTTTTTGTATTATTTGGTTCATTTGGACTTTGTAAAAAAAAAA